GTCGATGGTGCATCCGCCGGAGATGGAGCCGATGACTGGTAGTGGTGGTGGTTTCGGGGCGACCTGGAGAGACCGGGAATGAGTCCCGACTCCGCGGCGAGAGACCGGAGAGTGCTTCCACTGCCCCCGCCACCGCCCCCGGCCCCGGCCCCGGCGCCACCGCGGTCGTCGTGGCCGTGGTGGCGGCTGTAGCTGCGGCTGCGGCTGCGCTCGACACTGCTACTGCGGCTGTCGCCGCTGCTACTGCCCCCAGGGCTGCGGGATCGCAGCTGCAGGTGCTGCTTGGAGGCGGGGGACGCGGCGGACCCATGGGTCGCTGCCGCCGTCTTCGTTGCCGATTTCGGGCCCGGGGTAACGGCGGCGGTCGCGGCCGCCGCCGCAGCGATCCCGACGCGGTCCTGCGGCGAAAGCGCAACGTGGTACATGAGTGGCGTATGGCGCACGTCCGTAGGCGTACCCGTGTGTGTCATGACGAGCATCTGAAGCCAGGCAGCGGTTGCAACCATGCAACCCGTCCTTGCATCTTCCTTGCAGCACGTGACTACCGGATACCGCGAGTATATATAAAAGTAGTAGTAGTCACGAAAACTAAATAAAAAATAATGCAAGTGTACAACGGAGTACAGACTATACGAACAGCAACTGAAAACGTTTTCATCATTCCAGCTCCGAAGCACCTCCTCGCAAGGAGCCCCTCAAGCAGGTATCATCGCTCCAGGCACCAGCTAGCAGACAGATATACATACGTACGCGTACACGTGCGCGCGCTCACACTCACACTCAATTTAGACTCACCTGCTGAGGTGGCTGCAGTAGCTGCGACCTGACCACCTCTCCCGGCACGGCCGACCAAGCCGTCGCAACTCTAAGGCCACCACCAACACCAACACCACCAACCCCAACGGCAGCGGCGGCGGAGGCGGCGGCAACGTTCCAAGGTGCCGTTGCTGACGTCGTCGCCACTGCCCAAGTCGAAGCCGTCGTGGTACTGCCGTACGTCGCGGCGGCGGCGGCGCTGCCGTCCATCTCATGAGGCCCAAAGCGAGATGTCGCCGCTGGCCGCAGCGGCAGCGGCAGCGGCGGTGCCGACGGGGTAGCAGCAGCAGCAGCAGCAGCACCAGCGGCAGTGATGCTGCCACTCGCTGCCGTACCACTCGCCGCCACAGGCTCCATGTACCGCCGTGGCTCCGACGGTGGCCTCATGTCTCCGGCCCTGGCTGACGTCTGTTGATACTGGTGGAGAAGCTGCCGCCCGGGCCCCGGGCCCTGCGGTGACGGCTGCTGCTGCCAGGGCGACGTCTCGGTCCAGGCCTGAAGCCGGGGCTGCGGGCCGTTGTAAACCTGGCTGGCGGCCGCCTCGGCGGTGGCGGCGGCGGCGGTGGCGGCGCTGTAGCCGCCGAGGTGCCACCCGACCGACGGCGACGGCGACGGCGACTGCGCGCCGCCGGAGAGCTGACTCAGTCGATCTGATAGAGCTTCCAACTGCTGCAGCAGCTGGTCCTGCCGGTGCTGCTGCTCCGCCTGCTGCTGGACGTGGTGTTGCTGCAGCAGCTGCTGATATTGTTGCTTGCACTGTAGCTGCAACAGCTCCTCCCGGGAGCTGTACGGAACGTACGGTGACGTGGAAGAGGGCCGTTGTGGTGTGGTAGGGACGCTGTACACACGCTGCGAGCGGACCGACGCTGCAGCGTCCGCCGAAGTGCCGCTGACGGCAGATCCTGCCGCCGACGTCATATTGTCGTACGGGTACGACACCAGTCTTGGTTTTTGCTGCTGGTGTTGCTGGTCCGATGTCTGCGTCTGCCAGGGGTACGACATGGTTGACGTCACGAACGGGTTGTGCGGCGACGTAAGGCCCTCGGGCTGGCTTTGGTGCGCCAGCCCACTGCGCCCGTACGACGCTGCGCCGGCGGAGGCCTGCATCAGGCGCTGAAGCTCCCGCTGCTGACGGAAGGCTGCCACGCCGTCCTGTACGGCCTGGCTGACGCCGTCGCCGATAGGGGCGGCGGAACTTACACCCCCAGCCGAGATGCCGTACAGATTGTCGGCAGACGGCGGCACAGGCGCGGGGGCGGTGAAGCCGCCGCTGCCGGCGTGGTAGGCCGCCGAGTACACTGGCGTCGCGGCTGACGCAGGCTCGCTGCCGTACATTCCATCATCGACTCCGTACACGCCGTCGTACAAGCTGCCTCTTCTTTCCCTGGTCGTGACGTTGTCGCCGTTTGAGTTGGCCGCAGTCTGCGCACACACCAAATATCGTACGAAATGGACGAGTAAGTGCCGACACCGACGCCATCGCTGCTGCCGACGTCAGCATACAGCTAGAGAGGACGTACTGTACGACAATACCCAGGCATGGAGCCCCTAGGCTGTTCGGGCCAGGCGAGCCGCTTCCGTGCATGTATATATGTATGTATGTGTGTGATAAAGCACGGGTGCGATCAATAACCCGCCACGGTACGGCAGGAGGAACCTCCCTTGGATTGGCCCCGACTCCGGGGCCCCCTCCCCCTCAACCCCGGGTGTTTTACCACCACCACCCTCTGCTCAACTCCTGGAGCGGTGGGGTCGGCCGCCCCCCCTACCTCCCCCCTACCTCCCCCCTACCTTCCCCCTACCTCCCCCCTACACACCAGCAGCAAATGCTGTGTCTCCACCACCCTTGTCGCCATCTTGCGTTGCCGCTCCAGAACCTCACCACCCCCGGACCCCAAGGACTCCGCAAAGCCCCGTAGATACTCCTGGCACGATTGGTACGACTGGTACGACTTCGCCGCTCCGCCGCGTACGGAAGTGTCTCCCGCCTCCAACACTGCCCGACATGAGGGCAGCAGGGCGGTCAAACAACCTAACACGCTCACGAACTGGCCTATGATGCCTGGGAAGGGGGGACGGGGGGAAAGGGGGGGTAGGGGGTTTAAGACGAACCACTGGCAAATGGAGCAGATACCCGAGGTAGGTGGACGGGTAGTGAGGGGAGTGGGGTAAGAGTGAGGAGGGAATAGGATCAGCGGAAAGGGGGGAGAGAAAAGAAGACAGAAGACGGGGAGGAGGGCGGTAGGCAGGTAGGTAGGCATCGCCATCATGCCTTCAACCCGACGGCGGAATTGCTGCCTCAGCCGCCGAGCGCCACACCCCTCACCTCATCTCACCTCACCTCACGCCTCATGTGTGATCGGAGTCTTTTGTCATTCCCTTCCCCCCCCACCCCCC